GTGAGAGCACATATGTGGAACAGCACAAGTGCAATAAAGGAAAAATGTTGCCATAGAAGTGCTCTAATTACTGTCTCATGGCTTCAGAGAGAGGTTATGTAGCTGCAAGCAGCATGCCCTGAGAACTGCTAAGGCTAAAGCACCAAGGCACATAAGGCACCTGAGAGATAGTGAGAGCCTGGACACAGCCTGACACAAAGCCATGATTTCCAGTATAAAATCAAGGTCTCTGTTGAGAGGTTTAGCATGGGCAAGGCAGGATGCAGCTGGCAAGGGAGATTTTCTAAGAGCAGCAGAGGAGGAGATGATGGCACAGCTCTACCCCTAATTTAGTTCCAGATTCAGCTCTGGCTGTTTTGAAGGAAAGTCACAATGCAAGGAGAAGTGCTTGGATAAATACCTTCTAACACCCTTTCTGGTGATCAGCTTAGGACTGAGATTTGACCTTATACAACCACCTGTTTTCTGTGAGGTCCTAAAATAATCCAGTCCTCTTTCAAATCCAGCTCCAGAGGATGACTTCTCTAGGACACCATCCCCTGCAAGACGCTGGCTTCTGCCATGACATCTACTGAGGGATGGCGAGGAAAAGCTGCTTTCTTCTATGCTGGGCTTGGAAGTGCAGGGAAGACATCCCTGCTCCCCAGTGGCAGGGATATGGTTCTTCCCCTCGCCCAGCCCTGTCATCTCACTCTTCCCCTTCTACCCCCTTAGCTCATGCTCTCCTTTACTAGGCTGCTCTGTTCACCCTCAGCTTTTCTCACACTAGCCTCTGGAGAAAACTTCTTCTGTTTTGCCCCTCCTCTGTCATCCCCAAACAAATCTTTCGCCTTGCTGCTCCCCTTGCTCCCCCAGGGGAGTCAAATAATCCAGAAGTCACATGTGTAGTCTTTGCGCACCTTCAGGCTGGAGATGGGGGTTATGGGATTAGCACGTTAACTGGCCTGAAAGCTGCTTAGAGAAGCATTAAATCTCCAATCTTCTCTCCATCTTTCAAAAAAATCTTCTAGAGGAGCTGGAGAGATGGAGCGCCCAGTCACGTTTTCTGGTGTCAGCTTTTGTCCAGCTGAGAGCCCTCAGCTCACACCTGGGTGGTGTTAAGGGATTGCCATGAGATCAGGGGGCAGGAAACCCAGCTAAACCCTTACCAGGGGCTCTTTCCTCTCTACCCCATCAGTTTCACACTCCTTTACAGCACTTTAGGAGAGTTGAGTGGTACCATATGTGCTAGGCACAGCAGGATCAACCTTAGGATGCTGCCTTTTAAAGCAAATCCTGGGACACCTTGTGCCTGTGTTTTATTCATGTGGAATGAATTAATGCTCCATTGGCTGCATCCCCCTATTTATCCCACTTAACTGGGAGGTGGAGGAGGCAATGCTGGGTTTACCAAGGAGTTGGGTGGCACTTTTTGATTCAGTGAATGTCCTCTCATAAATCAGGGAAAGGCCGTGTGTCTGAGATCCCTGACCTGTCACCTTCCTCCATCCTCATCACCTTGTGACTGCCTCAGGCCCAGATTACCTCCTCCCATTTCTGGAGAAGAAAGGATCTCTGCAAGTAGTGAGGGACACTATCTGAGGACACCTACCTGGAGGACACCCACAGCTGAAACTGATGCTTACCTTGCAGCAGCTTTTGATGTGAATTTGCTGCACCATGAGGTTGACTTCTCAGTGTATCACCTGTAGTTGTCCTGGAGACTGCAGAAAATCTTGAGGGAGAAGCAAAGCTCGTGACAGTGACAGGATTCAGCAACATTATTCATTAGAGAGACATCTAAGTTAAAAACACCATGTACTGATTTCAGTGCAAATGCAACTGAGTAGCTCCAAAACAAGCCACTTTACAAGAGCAGTACTAAAATATGTTACATTATTTGGCCTCTTACAATTACAAAAATGGATTCCTGACCAGACTGAAGTTTCTTTTTATTTTTCCCCTCAGAGCTTCCAGCCTGGGAAGTTTCAGCTCCAAATTAGACTGTTTTGGAAATTAAGAGTAGGTGAAATTTAAGGATTTTCACAGGTGAGGGTTTCCTGAATTATTCACTTCTAAAGGCTATAAAATAGTTCATTTCTTCAAACACAGCCACCTCTTCTGCAGAAGATGGAGATGACACTTAATAGCATGCAGCAGCAATATACCACCAGTCTGAAAGATTCAAATCCAGAAATGCTGGACAGCTTATGGCAGCAATCCAAACTGAAGTAGAAAAAAAAAAATGCCTTACCTAATTTTTTAAAATCTTACTATTTTTAAGAAATCTCAAGATTTGCTGGGTCCGATAAGGTGCTCCAGAAAGTATATGACTGTTGAGAGTAAAGACTGTGAGACTGTGTAGTTGAAGGATATGCATTTAAAAATTTGCATAAACTTTTGTCTATTGAAATAAGTTTAGACACTAGTGGCTGATCACACTTATTACATGTGGTCAACTAATTGGACAACAGCTGTGATCAGTGGGGTCAAAGTAAATATTATTTTCCAATGAAGAAAACATTTGAAATATTACTGTTTCTTTTGCAATAAATCAGGTATACTCTGGCTGTTGTCCTTGCCTCCTCCTGTCACAGACACAAGAATTTGCTGGGGTTGGACAACGTCTACCAAGAGATGATCTACATTTGCATGGCATCAGTTTGTCAGAGATTAAATACTTGGTGGTAGGGATTTGCTCCATTGTGGTTCAAAACCTGCCTTTCTTCCAGCAGATGTGGTTCCCCAGAGGGATGTTGGGTATGCTGACCCAAAGGATGATGGCTGGTTTCTAAGCCCCCATCTGCTTGGCATGGTGCATATCCAAGGTCTATAAATCCTTCTCACCTGTCTTACCAATAGGAAGATGAAGCACAGAGCAATAACATGACTTGCCCGTTATTGCATACTTGCTAATTTCTAATCTAGGAGTAAAATCTGTTTCTCCTGCATGATAGGCAGATGTGCCAATATAGGCTGAGTATACATACCTATGGTGGCACACAGTTATACATTGCTGTACCTCTGTACACATTTGTGGACATACTGGTCTTGATGTTTGCTCACACACATTTAAAAATAGTGTGCAAATATTTACATGAAGACACAGGCAGTCTCGTACTTATCTCCAACTGAAAAAAATTGAGAGAAAGCTAAACCCTACTATCCTTCAGCAAAAATGATCATAATAAAGCTAGAGGCTCTGTTGCTCTGTTGTCTCTGTACATAGCCGCTAAACTCAAGGAAATCGTAAGCCAAGCCTTGAGCATAACCTCAATCCACACACCCTTCCAGCCCAAAGGGTGTTCTGGTCTCTCAGTACAAATTAGGAAGCCTACTGAAATCAGAGAGAGTCCAGACAGCACAGGAACCAAGACAAGAAGTTGATGTAAAAGACACAGGGGCTGCTTAACAAGACCATTTCCTCAAAGCTCCCCATAATTAACACACCCAACTCTTCACACCTTTCCCATTCTAGGGCTGTTCACATGAACAATTTGAGCCACCATAATGTGGCACTGTCATTGAAAGAATTTTCTCTGTCCTTTCCCCGTCACTTTCCCACACAGTCCCTTCCCTTGTGCTGGCACAAGGGTTTATCCATATTTGGCCATCATGATCAAGGATTGGAAAACACATCTGGGTTTAAAGCTCATCAGTATATACTTATGCATTTGCTTATATATTTTTTTCAGGTACATTTTAAACTCAGCTCAGTGCTGTATTCAGCTCAGTTATCTTGCGCTGGCCATGGGGAGGGTTAGCGTAGGAGTGAAAAAGAGCAGCAGAGAATAAAATAATTTCTCTTGATGGTGAAGCTAATTCATGGAAACGTGAAATGTTTCTGAGGCTGCAGCCCCTCTTAAATGGAAATCCATTGCCAGACAGACATATGTTCTGTTTGTTCCTTGAAATGCATGACATCAGAATAAAAGTGCCACCCATAGCCTAAATGAAAGCAACGGTAAGCTGGGAAAATCAATCCCCCTCAATTCTGAGGTCTGTCCATCCCTGAAGGAGACCCCTCTTACTCAGTTGTTTGTAACCTTTAAAAATTTGCGGTCGATAAATGCTTTCTAATGGACATATGAATCTGGGTCAGTGAATTTAAGCCCAGTGACAATAGATTTGCTTTGCTTATTTTGCTTCTGCAAATGCATTAAGAGCAGTCTACCAGCCATTGCAGATCCAGATTTGTTGGTTGCAAACCAGTGATCTAATTTGTTGTGCACTGAGGATCATGCGTGTGAAGGATTTATGTGACTGAAGAACTAAGCAGGCACTCCATGAGTGGAAAAGAAAGAGAAAATCTGCTGATATTTCAGAAAGGAAGTGGTGTAAAATCTTTCTGTACATTTAAGCACCCTGCGAAAGGAGAGCTTGTTCTTCTTGAAGTAACTGATCTTTGAAACTGCTTGTGTGAAAATGGCTGGGAGTTGGGAAGAATTAGCTGATTAAAGTGCAGCAGGTAGCATGCCTTAACCAGGAAAAATGAGGTTCATCAGTAATAAACCCCATTTGCACACCCCCATATCCCCCCACATATGCAGGAATACACTCAACCTGATTCTCCACTTATTTTAATCGGTAATAGATCAGGGCCAGCTTTTGAAATTGACCTTAATTACACCAGGAAAATAATAAAAATAAAAGCCAAGGCTTAAAAAACAAAGACCTCGCTCCCAGGCACTGCAGCAGGCACCGACAGCCGCGCACGGGGAGCATTCCCGCGTTCCCAGTCGGGCTCAGCTCCGCAGACAAAGCCCAGCGCATCCCTGCGCAAAAAGAGCGCAGCACCGGGCGGGCGGGCGCGCAGACAAAGCGGGGCCGGCAGCCGGCGGAGCGCTGCAGCATGCGGAGCCGCGCAGAGCTTCCTTTGCTAGTGGGCTGGTGGTGGTGGTGGCGGCGGCAGTGGCGGCAGCTTTTTTTTTTTTTTTTTTTTTTTTTTTTTTTTTTTTTTTTTTT